CAAAAAAAAAAAAAAAAAAAAAAAAAAAAATATGTATAATGTTAGCATGTTTTAATTATGTAATTAAAAATCATATTCAATAATATATCATATTTTAAAAAAAAAAAAAGAAAAATGATATTATGTAAAATGAAACAAGTTAGTATAAATATAAATATATAAACTATAATACAAATTAGTTAATAAATAAATGAATTTCATTGATTACATAAAAACATATTTTCTTGAATTCATTTTTTTGGCTATCATTTGAAATAATATTATATATTTCCTTTTTTTGTTATCAAATTGAAAAACATTGAATATTTTAACTTTTCTAGTTATTTAAAATGAAAAGTTATAGTTAAAAAAAAAGATAAATGAGTATTAGCTTATATATACATACGTAAATACATACATAAAATCGATTGTATATTTTAAAAAAAATAATTATTAAATGTATTTTAAGTGTATATTATTATTCATTTTATATATGTACATGTATCATAAAATAAAATAAGATTTATATATTATAAATTAAAAGCCTACTTAAGCAGTTTAATAATATTAAAAATTAAAACTGATTAAATTAAGGTATATTATTTTTTGTATTATATTTTGCGGAAAATATATTTTTAGTTAATTTTTATTAGCATATTTAATAAATGTAAAAATTCTTATATGTATTTATTTGAATTTTTATTTTTTTTTTTTTAATTTCATAAAATTAATATTCAATAATTTATTACATCACATTTTTAATTTACCTTATTTAATTTTTTTTTTTTTTTTGAGTCACATTATAAATAAATAAAATATGTAAAAATTTTGTATAAAAGATAATATAAAATTTTTTCTTTTTTTTAGCATTATTATCTATAATTTTGTAAATAAATATTTTTTATTTATTTTTTTTATATTTTTTTATATACTATTTATTTAATTAATGTATTAAAAAATTTAGAAGAAATTGTCTTTTTTTTTTTTTTTTTTTTTCTGCTTCTTCACAATATACACATTTTTTATATAAAATCTTACCAATGTAGCATAAGATATATATTCAATTACATTATTATTTTTTTTTTTTTTTTTACTCAGATGTTTTAAAATTATAAAAATTATTTTACTGATGTTATATTTTTTTTTTTTGTAGTTTTAAAAAAAAAAAAAAAAGGG